CAGGGGAGGCAGGAAGACTCAGACCATCAGTTCATGAATCAGCCCAGCTCTGGGGTTCCTGTCCATCGAACACAGCACAGCAGCATCTGGAGTCCGTGCCCCGGGGGCACTGTGGTAGGGAAGGAGAAGGCACCTCCAGGACCAGACAGACCCTGCTCAAATCCTGGCATCTCCACTCACCAGCTCTGTGACCTTGGGCAAGCAACTGGACTTCTCCAAGCCTCAGTATCCTCCTCTGTGGAATGGGGATAATAGAAACTGCCTTGCCTAACTCAATAGGTTGTTGAGAGGATCAAATGAGAGAAAGGGTTTCCAAATTGCTACCAATGGACATTACCATTATTGCCAACCATGCAGTGGGCTCAACCCAGAATCCAGCTCAAACTCAGGTCTCTTGACTCCCAGAATTTTGTTCTTGCCCCTGTACCAGACCCTCATATTAATCTAGCCTAGGTTTTAGCTTGGTCTGAAAGCAGAGGGATAGACTTGATGACCTTGGGTTGACCCTTTCTGGGTCTGCCTGATTCAGCTGGAGAGGTTGTAATAAGAATTGAGCCATGGTTACGTAAAACTGATTAAATGGCTGGTCAGTAAATGTGACTGTTGAAGTTGTATCTCCCAGTGAATTCCTGAACAGATCCCTAGAGACAGTGTGAAGGGTGTGTCTTTCTTGTGGAGCAGTGGTAGAGGTGAGGGGAGAAGGGGTGGGTATTAGGGATAAGGGAGGAGGCAAACATATACTCCAGCCCTCAAGGAACTTGCAAACTCTTTGGAGATGTGGGACACCTATTTAAGAGATATTAGCTAAAAACACAGGGCATCCAAGATCTCATGTCTGGTCTGTTCATAATAGTGCCCCCAGTGCCTCATGCACATAGTCAGCATTCAATAAATATCTGACACATGAAGGAATAAGGTGAATGAATGGCACAATGTTTGTATGTTATCTGTATGCCCTTTGGGACTTTTATGCCCCTGGGAGATTTAGGTCAACATTGGTGTGAAGCTCAGATTGTTTGGTTATTCTGCAGGTGTTTGTCTTGCTTCTCTGTCCCTGCTCCTGGGGGTCTGCAGCACCGTTTGTGCCATGTCAAACCATAGACTCAGGCATAAAGCTTTGCCCTTCTCCTTTTTCCACAAAAATTTGATTGCACTAGGGATTTTGTCATGCTTTGTCACTTGACTGAATATTTGAGGGTGTCATGGGGAGGGATCACAGGTTTTGCCAACTTTATAGACTGCCCAGTGGATGTCTACCAGCTCCTTTCTCACTCCAACCTGTGGCTTTTCTTGCAGGGAGAACTACCAGTCTGCTTTCCCCAGTCTCAGAAAATTCCAAGGAATACAACATTCTCCATTTTTTTCCCTTCCACATTAATCTTCCCAAGAGGGTTCCGGGATCTTTGAGTTCCCAGACGAGTTCACTGAGAACAGTGAACCAGGTTCAGACTCAGAATAGAGAAGCCCTTTCTAACACAGAATTATGCAGATTGCCTGGAGGTGCTGCGCTCCCTGTCAAAAAAGGTGTGCCAGCAGAGTGAGGTTGCAGAGGAGCCCCAGATGTGCAGATGAGGATTCTCAGGTACTGTGGGTTGGAAAGTATGTGAAGCCAAGGAACAGGAGAGCTGAGTTTATGGCCCCAGCTCTCTTAGTGACACTCACTAGGGGTCCGACTAAATTCCTACCTTTGTCTGTGCCTCACCATGTCCTACCTGTGTCTATGCCATCGTCTGTTTGCACAACAGTCTCCTGCACGGCAGGGGCTAGGCAGGTCTGAATGGGTGCTCACTTAGGGTCAGTCACAGCTCTAAGACACTGTGATTTCCTGGTATCTCAAGAGTGGAAGGTGATTTGTTTTTTCTGCAACAGGAATTGGGTGTCATGTTTGTGGGAAATTGAAAGTGAGTGACTGAATCTTCTTATCTTTCTGGCTCTGGGCCCAGCTGGGGCTCTGTCTGGCCCCAGCAGATGGGAAAGGGGCCTAGGGTGAGGGGAACTGGCCTCAGATCCTCCTCTTGTCTGTGGAGAAAATGAAGCAGGTTCTCAGCATCCTGCATGGAGTGGGCCCAGCCAGGTGGGGCTGAGCTTCTTGGCCTGTGGGGATAGAGGAAGGGAACAGCACAGAGCAGTGTGGCTTCTGTGTTGGGGGCTTGTAGGGAGAACATCTTCTGCATCTCTGTGCAGCCCAGGCTCAGGGAGGAAAGCACTGCTGTTGGAATGGGACTGGAATATGGATGGAACCTTCCTCTTACGATGCAGACTTCATGGGCTCTTAAAATCCAACTTAACAAGGCCCAGTAGGGTCTGCTCCCTGCCCCCTGTAGTGGATTTGTAGTGTGTCAAGTTAGCTAGGTTGGAACTGGGTTTTCCAGAGTTCCCTTCCCTGCATAGAGTCAGGTGTACAAAGGGCACAGGAGACATTTTGTGGGACATTTGGAAAGACATGAACAGCAGTAGTATTCTTTGACACTCGGAAGGGCAGTGCATGGCCCTAATCATTGGTGCAGTCACACCTGTTGGCATGGGAAAGCAGCTGGGCCTGCAGTTCCTCCACCTCCTGTGGTGTTTTCCTTTGGCTCTTCTCCTCCTGCCCTAAGGATGTGTTTAATTCCATGGTGAAAAGCTGCTTCTCATGGAGGCCACCCTTACAGCCCAAGTTGGGACTTTGGAGTTAGTGAGACCTTCAGGATTCCATCTTCACATCCATCTTTCCTCTAATTGTCTGCCCTTGTGACTTCAGGCCCCAGCATCAGACCCAAGAAAACAGCCTCAGATAGATGGTTAAACCACCCCCCACAGCTGCATCAGGTCAAATCCTGGAATAAAGCCCTTATTATTCTGATCACCCCTAGCAGTTCTGCTTCTCTCATTAAAACTTGGCCAGCACCTTGCCTCTCCAGGATCCTCTTGTGCTATTCTCCCTGGTGTTCCCTGCATGCCAGCTGCTCTGGCCTTCTTTTCTTTTCTTTTTTTCTTTTTCTTTTTCTTTTTTTTGAGATGGAGTCTTGCTGTGTTGCCCAGGCTGGAGTGTGGTGGCACAATCTCAGCTCACTGCAACCTCCGCCTGCTGGGTTCCAGCGATTCTTCTGCCTCAGCCTCCCAAGTAGCTGGGATTACAGGCACCCACTACCAGGCCTGGCTAATTTTTGTATTTTTAGTAGAGATGGGGTTTCACCATGCTGGCCAGGCTGGTCTCAAACTCCTGACCTCAAATTATCCTCCCACCTCGGCCTCCCAAAATGCTGGGATTACAGGCGTGAGCCACTGCGCCTGGCCTGCCCTGGTCTTCTGTTTGTTTATTTGTTTGTTTCCTTGAACATGTGAAGCTCCTTCCCACTGCAGAGCCTTTGTATGCACTAGTCCTTCTTGCTGAATGTGATCCTCCACACTCCTCTGCCGAGCAACGCCTGCTCATTCGGCAGATCATAGGTCTGTTTTCTAATGGTGCTAAATGTCTCTCTCTCTCCCTCTGATAGACTTTTGCAGGTTTGTGGTTTTTTGCATGTATGTGCATATAGGGTGTGGTCGTGTATATTATGTCTGTCTCCCCAGTAGACCACAATCTTCAAGTAGTCACGGGCCACCACTGACTACATTCACATCATATAGCCCAGCCTAGGATAGTGGTTGACACGTGGTAGTTCTGTAGTGATAAATTATTTAATAACTGAATGAAAGATAGAATAAGAAAACAAAGGAAAAAGGAAAGAAAAGAAGAAAGAAGAGATAGGATAGAAGGAAGAAAGAAAGAAGGAAAGAGATCCTATTCATCACCTAATTTCTAGCAGCTATCGCTTCCCTAGAGCGCCTTCCGGGACAGGCTGGGCAGAAGCCTCTCTGTGTCTCCATTATACATTCATTCTTACACTGAATTTTGAGTTTGTCTTGGTTTCTTTTCTCCTAACTAGACTGTAAGCTCTCTGGGGTAGGGACTGAGTCTGGCACAGGGCAGGAGTGCAATGAATGTGTGAACTTGTGAAAAGTCTGGGTATTTTAGCATGCCATTCCAACTCTTTTACCATCAAACTCTGGCTCACCTTTGGGCTCATCTCTTCCTGTCCCCAAACTCTTCCTTGTTCCCTGAACAAGTCACATTCCCTCCAAGGCTTTGTGTGTGCAGTCACCTTGGATGGCCTCCCCACTTCTTCCTTTCGCCAGCTTCAGGCTATTTTTCAAGGCCAGCTTTAGAGCAGCTTCCCAGGGCTGGCCAGAGGGTGGGAATGCCGGCAGGATGGTGAAGGTGTACTTGGGCTGAAGTGCTGATGGATTTTTTTCCTAAGGGCTTTCTTTCTCCCAAATGCTTCCCGGTAATTCAAAGGTTTTCCAGAAACAAGAGTGGTCACTGGACCTCAGAATAGAAGGGAGGCTCCGGTAAATGAACTGGGCATCGTTTCCCTCTCCCTCCTGCTAGAATTTCCTCCACTCCACCCCCGGTTGCCCTGACACACACCTTCCTTCGATCTCGTCTCAACTCAGTGGCTTACCCCTTGCACAGGACTTGGAGTTAATTTGGGATCACTAGTAACCTTGTCTGTGGTGTGGAATTCTGGTCCTTATACTTCTTTCATCCGCATTCATTCTTTTTGGGCCTTGCGCTGGGTACTGGGGATACAAGATACTCAGTTTCTGACTTAGTGAACTCTCAGGCTGACTGGAAACAGAGACAACTCTAGCCTGAGTTGATAGATGGGATCACTTGGGCCTGTGGCACAAGGCGCGATAAGGGAGCCTTTTCAGAGGATGTGACATCTAAACTTACACCTGAAGGATTATCCGACTTGGCCAGACAAAGGAACAGCAAGTGTCCTAAGCGAAGGGGTGGGGTCCCAGACACAGAGCACAGCAAGGAAGGCCTGGAGGCAAAAGGGTAGGGCCCATTCCAGATACTGGAGGAGTGCAGTGTAACCCGAGTTGGAGGAGGATGAGGGTCCCCTCCTGGTGAGGGTGTCCACTAGGAGATGAGGGTGGACAGGTTGGCTGGGATCACACCACAAAGCAACTTAGGGAGTCAGGATAACAAATTTGAACTTTATTCAGAGAGCAATGGAGAGCCATGATGGGTCTTGGTCCATCTAACTGTAAAGCAAAAATAACAACCCTTGATTTTATTCTGCTGTGAAGGACAGCATTCTAATGTATCCTCGGCTGCTATCTCACTGTGCAACCTCGGTCCCATCCTTCTCTATCCTCATGTCAACCCTCCCCCACTTTCCAGCTCCAGGCCCCTTCAATTATTGAGTAAGGCATTTGAACCAGATGATTGTTAAGATCTTCTAGCTCTGAGATGCTCTAATTCTAGGATATTCTATATGATTAATTAATTAATTAAATGACATTTACAAATTTTGTGCCAGGCATTTTAGAAGACCATGAGAATCCCAGTCTGCTGGAGAGGCAGATACACAAATCCATACCCATCCCACAAAGCAGAATGAGCTCAGAGCTGTCGGAGCACAGTGGAGCAAGTGATTCATTCTCCCTCAGGGATCTGGGGGCGGCTTCAGAGAGGAGGCAGCAGATGATCTGGGCCTTGAAGGATGCACTGGGGGACAAAGATAGGGCCTGCTTTGTTCAGGGAGAATGAGTCATTTGAGGCCTAGAGACAGGTGCCTAGATACTCCTGGGAGGTCCTGAATGGCAGAGGGGTGTGCTCTACCCTCTGTAGGGCATGGGAAAAATGTAGAGGACCTGGGGAAAGGAAGGTGGCTTGAGGAGGAGGGTGAGCTCGCTCGCTCTATCTAGGGGAGACTGGAGTGGAGTTTGTTTTATTGAATGAAGTCAAATTCATGTGCTGCATACAGTAAAGGGGTCATTTCAGAGCCCCATCCATAGGTCAGACTGTGAGACAGGTACCGAATACTTGATCTTTCTTGTTTTTACCCTGACAACAACTCTCCAAAGTAGGAATGAGAATTCAGCTTTCAATGGGAGGAAACAGGCTCGACAGTGAGGTACTGTGTCCCAGGTTACATGGTCAGAAGGCGGCAGAGCTAGGAGTGCACCCCCCGCCCCACCGCCCATAGGGTGCCCACCTCCAGAGCTGTGACCTTTTTACAGGCCGCTCTGGCTTCTTGGTACCTAGCCCTCCCTGGACTCTGAGCTGGATATTTTCCACTGGACCCAGCACCCATGTCCAAGAGCTTGGTCCAAGACATTTCCCGCGGGCCTCTGGTGATGCTGGGGTGTGGAGAGGAGTGAGTGCTGGAAGGGAGAGGAAGAGTGCCTTCCATCTCTCCTGTCATGGGACACCCTCCAAGAATGGGCACCCGGCTCCCCACTGCCCCGGGTGGGGATAAACTCTTGAACTCTCTGCAGAGATAAAAAGCACTATCTTCTCCCAGCCCTGAGTGTTAGCAGATGGGGCCGCTAGGGCCAACCTCCAGCTGCCTCCACCCACACTGTGAGGAAAAGCTGTCTGAGGAAGGCAGGAGGGGCTGGTCCCTCAGGCTCTGCCTCCATCTGGAGCTGTCCGAGCACAGCCATTCAGCACAGCCCCTGCCCAGCAGGGAGGACCCAGAGGTGCGTGTGCAAGGATCTGAGATGAGTGTTCACATCTTAGTTCTTCTACTTTTCTGAAATGGGCAGAAGATGGGCAAATCAGTTCTGTGAGCCTTAGCTTCTCATCAGTAAAAGGGAGCTGATCATTCCTTCAAGGTGCTAAGTGATGTTATTCTTATAAAAGTGCCTAAATTAGTGTCTGATGCATAGCACACCCTTTGCAAACAGATGATCTTCACCGTGTTGGGATGAAGTGAAGTCAGACTGCCCGGGTCCAAGTGCAGCTGCACCTCTAGCTGTGTGGCTTTGGGGAAGTTCACTTCAACTTGGTGCCTTGGTCTCCTCTTTTATAAAATGAGGGTTGTTGAGAGGGTGACGATGAGTTCGCATAAAGCACCTAGGATAGTGCCTGGCATGGTGGCAAACACTATGGAAGAATCAGTTATTTATTATCAGCATCAGTCTTTGGTCCACCTTCTGACTGCTGACCTGGGCACCCCAGCTTCTCTCTTCTCCTCCCTCCCTGCTCTAGGAAGCCCCAGTGTCTTTTGCTTTCTTTCTCTTCCCCTGGGTAAACTTTCTCTCTCACATTCATATCCCTCTTAGGTCTCAGGAGGAAGGATGCCCTGTGGATCCCGTAGCAGAATATGTGGAGGAATTTGAGGCTGATGGGGACACAGCCTTTCTGGCCTGGCTTAAATGAGACCATGAAGGCTGCCTCCTACTCCCTCTGTCCCATGCTGGAGAATGGAACATTCTATTCCTGATCCTGCAGACAAAATGTCATTATGGTGATTCATGGACTCAGAATTCCAGAAAGTCCAGGCTGAAAGGGGCCTCAGAGGGCATCCTGTCTACCCCATGGCCTTACCCTTGTCTCTCCACCCCCTGATAGAAGGCACTAGATCTCAATATAAGTCTCAGGGCAGCAAGACTGATCTAGCTTCCCCATTATTCCCCTTGGAATAATGCCAAAGGACCACTAGGTCTGAGTCTCACAGCTCCAGGCCTGGAAAGGAGCCTACTTGTCCCGTCACAGATCACAACTGGGCGGACCAGCTCTGAGCCTTTGCTATTTGAAGGGGTGTTTTGATAACCTCTTACCGCTCCTCCCCAACCCTGCAAAGCCCCACCTGATCACCCCACACTCTGGGCCTCCTCTTATCTCCTTACTCTAAGCTCCCCATCCATTACTGTCGGCTGGCAACACAAGTTTTATCTGAGTCTCTGTGGAATGGAATTGATTTCTGTGAATAATTGGAATAGCTGGCTAGTGACCCAGTATTGCTGCCACCAGGGTAGTTGGAGCTTCAAAGCTCTCATCCAACTCTTCCTCTCTCTCTCCATTCCCGTGGCTGTTGTCTGGTCCAAACCACGCTGACCTTCTGCTTGGATCATGATTACAGCTTCCTAACTGCTCATCCTGCCAGGCTCACCTGCCTCTTTCTGATTACCCTGCACCCCATCATCCACTCCAATCCATCCTCTACGTAGCAGCTACATTGATCTTTAAAAGCTCAAACCTTCCTAGACAGTAACGCCTTCCTACCTTGGCCTGCCATTTAGGAGTCTTTCTGATGGAGTTCCAGCTTAACTTTCCAGACTTACAGGTAAAGATTCACCTTCGTGTTCCCTAAGCATCAGTCAAAGGAGGCCTTTGCCCAAGCCACTCCCTCAGGTGTGTTCATTCATTCAGCCAACCACTGTTGAGCACCTACCTTGTCCAGGGCCTCCATGGGGCACTAAGAATACAGACAGGGATTAGGTGTAGACCTTGTCCTTAGACAGCATGTGGATTTGTGGGAGATGCAGATTCATAAACAGATAATACGTAATGATGTGAAATGGGTTTTTAGAGAAGTCTAGGGTTGGAGGGATTGGGGAGGGGGCTGTGAGAGCCCTAACCCAGCCTGGGTTTGGTGGTGAAGGTTTTCTGGAGGAGAGAGCATACAGTGAGGCCTCAAAGGATGAGAAAACTGGCCAGACAGGCAAAGGAACCTTATATGTTACATAGTACTGACCTCTTTAACCAGACCAATTCAAATGTTGCTTCTTCCAAGGATTCTTCCCAAATTGGCAAGACCTACACAGCCCTCCCTCCAGGGCTGGCTTCATGGGCATGCCCTGGAGGCATATGATGACCCTGCACTCGGTTTACTCCTTTGCTATTGTCTTGAAATTAGTAGTAATTTTTGAACAAGGGCCCCACATTTTCCTTTTTTCACCAGGCCCTCCAATTTTGCAGCTGGTCCTGTCTCCCTTAGGTCTTGTCACTTTTGACCTTGTATTACATTCGTCCACCCAAATGCTGTATCTTTTCCCTGGTGAACACCTGCAATTCCAAGTGGGTCTTACTCATTTCTGTCCTCAGGGTCCAGCACAAAGGCAGGCACCCAAGAGACATCTGTAATGATGTTGGTGAGTGCAATAAGACCCTGCTGAAACCCAGCCATTTAATCGAAGCTAGGGTAGCATCCCATGGGAAGGGGTGTGGTCCAGCCTGCACATGCTCCAGGAATTCAGGGGGGAAAAGATGGCTCCAGCTGGAGACTGCAGGAAGTGGTCCCCAAAGGACCCTCTCCTGCTCTCCTCTTGTCAAAGGGCCCTGTCAACAGTGCAAAGCCCTTTCCATGTGTAGTTTCAATTCTTCTAGCTGTGCAGGTCCCCTTCCCATCTCATTAGGCCCCTCCCCAGGCCTCTGGGTGTAGTGGCTAGAAGCTGGGAGGTAGGATGACAGCATCTTAATTTCCCTGCTAATTACAAGTGCTGGGAAGAGGGGTGCTAAATGCCAGATAATTACCGAGGAGGAGACACGTGCCAAAGTCCTGACTGCTCCCAGCCCCAGGAATTTTGCTTTAATGGTTTTCTTTTCTTCTTCCTTTATTAAAAAACGAGATAAAAAGAGTTAAGACCCTGGTCTTCTCTCTCCTTAGGCTTAGGAGGTTAAAAAAAAAAAAGCAATCTTTTTCTTAAACATTTTTCTACCCTCTCCTTATCAGGGACCTAGATTTAGATGCTAAGCACTAGGTTTGCCAAGAGAGTCTGAAGAGCAGCGACCTCATTTATGCCTGAGCTAGGCTGAGGGTGTGGAATGGGGTTGGGGCTGGCGGGAAGGGGAGCCCCAGCCCTCTGCTCTGCTCACTACCCCTAGACATACAAGCACACACACACACACACACATGCACACACACGCACACACCTCCACTTTTGAGAATGGGAAACTGAGCTGCCTGTATTGTTTAGGATTGCAGGGCATGAGGAGTCAGGGAGGGGTCCCCTCTGTCGGCTCTCATTCCCAAGGGCAGTGGGCAGAGGAGGGGGTAATGTCACCCAGTTGCTTGGCCTCACTCCCACACCCTGATGCCTGCCAGCTTCAGGCACAGCTTGAAAGGCTCCCAACAGGAAGCTATTAAGTTGATGAGCATTCTTGTGGTCCTGGATTGATACAGCGACGCTCTGTTTTGTAAAGCTGTTGTAATTTCCATAATAACATTTTCCTCTTCTTAAATAAACTTGGACTCTAGCCCGAAGAATGTGGCTGGCTTTGCCTGGGGAATTCAGGACCTGAGACGATGGAAGGAACACCTCCCTGGTAAGGTGGGAAGGGGAAGGGAGAGTCACAACTCCTCCAGCCCAAGGGCTGGGACTGCAACAGGCCAGTGGAGACTGGGTCCGGCAACAGTCTCAGAGGGCTCCATCACTTTGCGCTGGGCCCGGCCAGGGCTCCTGGATATATTCCTTTTATAGCACAGGGAGGCAGCCTAGTACAGTGGTTAAGATTATAGACTCCAGGTTTTGGTTATAGGACCACTATGTATTGCTTGTGTGATCTTAGGTAAGTTACTTAACCTCTCTGTGCCTCAGTTTCTTCACCTGAAAGGTACAGATAATAATAGTATGTAACATACACCGTGAAGATTAAATGAGGTAATATATGTAAAGTAGCTCATGCAAAGCATGTGCTTAACACGTCTTTAAAATAAATGTTCAGAGATGACCATGTCTCAGATAATTTTACAATTCTAAGTATTCCAGGTTCCAGAGTCAGGGAATAATAAGGTCTTAGCATTTTTGAATCACTGAACTATGAAAGTCTGAAGATTATGGAGTATGGAATCAAATAATAACTTTCAAAGTGGACTCTTAGGCTATGAAACAGAATGATATTCACATCTTGAGGCCTTAAAGTTCAGACTAGCTGTCCAGGGTCTGCTCTAAAATCTCTGTGATTGACAGCCCATTACCTCCTAAGGCTGCCCCTAGGAAGTTGTTGAATATGGAACCCAGTTTTGCCTCCTTTTGTCAGCCCCTGTTGGTCCTAGTTCTCTCTGGCCACCAGAACACATCTGCTTCCTCCTCCCATGAGAAACGGGAGAAGTGGAGACAGCACCCAAAGCCTGCTCTTCTTTAAACTGTTTTCTCTCAACCAGGCTTTCCATCATGCCATTGCTGGGCTGCCTTGGCTTGGCCAAGCCCCATCTCCTACTGTCCCAGTGTGAATACCAGGTAAATATGCCTGTGGCAGGGCTTAGAGGGATTTCTGTCACCCTCCATATCTCTTAACCTGGTCCAGGACCAGGCTCTTCCTGGCAGGTTAGCTTCCCTGGAGCTCAACTCCTAGAGCCCATTTCAGCACATAGTTCCAGGAGTGAGCATGCATGTATATGCATGTGTGTGTGTGTGAGACTATGTATGAGTGCCTTTGAGTAGAAGATTGGAAAGGGAGTTTTGAGGCTGAATCTCAGACTTTAAGACTATCAAGACTACAGAGGGAAAAGTAAGGAAGTACAATGGCTGAAGTTCTCCCAGTGGAGACTGGCCCAGTCCTCACCATGAGGGTACCTGCTGAAGTGGTGAGATGGGCAGCAGGCTAGCAAGGCCTCTGTCTTATGTAGCCTCCAATGGGTCTGCAGAACATCTATAGTTTCCCATTATTGTTTCATAATTTCCCCATATTATTTCCTTTCAGAAGGAGGAAAGAGGCTGCAGATGGGACACCTATTCACCCCTAATGCAAGTGTGACTGTGAGTTGAAGGCATTTCTCCCAAATGTAGCTTGCTGGGCATCTGGTGGGCACTGGGAAGGATATATAAGGCTGTATGAGTGTGTCCTGCACAAAGGTGTCTGGTGACGGGCAAGTTAGGGCTGAGATCCAGCCAGAGCTCTGCTCATAAGACACACTCCTCTGGCCTGGGGTGGTGTCCAACCAGAGGAAGGGACACTTTTTTCTAATGCACACACAGGTGTCCCAAGGTCTAGCAGCAGACAAGAGGAGGTGGGTGGAGTGGGTGATAAAATAAGGGAAAATGCCAACCCAGGAATATAGGAGCTGGGAAGGGTGACTTTTATCTGGCCTTTTCCTGAAGGCTTGTATGCTTCAGGCCTCCCCGGGAAGACGGAGCACAGGACTGACTCAGACCCAGTGCCTTCGTGTAAGAGCTCTAGTCCAACACAGGAAACAGACACCCAACCAACCTTGAGGAAAAGCTGTGGGAGCTGGGGGTCAAGGGGTGATCTCCAGATGCTCCCCAGCTCCAGGTTGTGAAGGATCGGACATCAGGTAGGAGGGCTGGGGTGGGGTGGGAGGCCTAGGCAGCATGGTGACACTGGAGAGTAGAGAGTGATTCTCAGCTCCCATGCAGGGCTCAGGGTGAGGAAGGCCTTTAGCACCCATTTGATACACGAGTAAGTACTGAATGCAGGTACAAGGGTGCTGTGGGGGAACTGGAGAAAGGTGAAGCTGGGGAGGTGGGCAAGGCCTGGATCTGCAGGGTCCCCTGGGCTCTATGTGAAGACGCTCAAATGTTTCTCTTATTGGTGTTGGAGAGCGATTGAGTGACTGATGAGATCTGTTGGAACGATCATTCTGGCAAAGGTGTGGAGATGGCTCAGAGGGTTGAACTGGGAGCAGGGTGGCCTCAGCCACATGTGCTGCCATGGCTCTGAGCAGGGTGAGTAGGCCTGGGCAGAGTTTGGTGCAAAGCCCTCAGAAGGCTGAGGAAGGGAGGGCTGCATGGATGCAGAGGGACTGTGCGTGTTCCCCAAGCCTGGCTCTCACAGGTGTGCGGCTCCTTCTCTACCAGCAGCAGTGTTTCCTGCCTGGACCCTGAGCCTGACAGTCAGAAGCAGCATCTGGTATCTCTCCCAGGTTGGACATGAGCTTGGAATGCAGGGACCACCTGAGTCCAATCAGCAGCTCTGACCCCAATTTCAGGCAGGGGGTGACGTCACACCTCTTGGGTTCTGTGGAGGAGGAGCTGGAGGTGATGGGGTGAACATAGAACAGAGAGCAGACAGTAGGGCAAGGCAGTGGGGGGCACTGGGGTCTGAAGAATAAGAAAGCCTGGGAGAAGAGGATGCTGTTTGAGCCCAGCTCTGCCAGGTGACTGTCCAGGTCACCACTACCAATCCTGCCCGTGGAGAGAACTCATAGAATATCAACCCAAGAAAGGGGTACAAGAACCTCTGCAGCCCCTTCGTTTTTCTGATGGGGACCCTGATGCCCAGGGTTTCTAGCCTGCTTTGAAGAGGCATGTTTAGAAAAGGAGAGACTCTGACACCCATAGAGGGCTGTGGGGTGGGGGTGTACTGCAAGTGACTGGGGGTACGCAGTGCGCGCAGGAGACTGGGGCTAAAGCTGAATGATTGTTCTTTCCTCCGTATTTCCTGTGGCCTGGCATTCAAGACCCTTTCTGTTGAGTCCTCTCCTGTTTCTGTGTCTGCTTCTCTACCTTAAGCTCCTCCTCCCCACACCCCCTGGATCCCGGCTCCTCGTTCTTCTCCAAGCAACTCCCTCCCTCTTCTGCCTCCACCAGCTGCACATCCTGTGTCCCCGCGGCATCCTTTCCCATCTGCCCTCAGCTCAGGTGCCTCTGTCCTGGCTGGCCTCCCTTGCCCCGTTGCTGCCCTCTCTTCCTGCTTCAACTTCCAGCCTGAGCCAGGTCTCACCCTCTTCTTTTAGAAAACATTGTTTCACCTTGAATTGTCATCGTGTTTGAAGCCCAGCTCTGAAGAGTGGTGTAAATTTGGGTGTGGTCCTTAACCTCCTCATGACTCTATTTTCTCATTTCTAAAATAAGAATATGGGCCTCATAGACAGGGTGTCCATCTGTCATGGCTTGCCTGAGACGTCCCAGTTTCCGCCTGTTGTCTCTGTGTAATTATTAATAGTGCACCCTTTTACTCCCAGAAGTGTCTCAGTTTGTATGATAAATTATATGTTCACTCTACTCCTAAAGCTCTTATGAAGATCAAATTAGATGATACCATGAGATAATCCATGTAAAGTTTCTCAGCAGAGTGCCTGGCATAGAGTAAGTGCTCATTAAATCTTTGCTTTTGTTATTTCTCTCTCCAGCAGACTGAGCTTGTTGAGGGAGGGACTATGTCTGATTCAGTTACAATTACCAGATGAGAATGGCCAATTATGAGAGAATTCAGAGTACAATCAAGCCCAATAAATGCCACAGTGATGCTGAGGGTGATTTTGTCTCTCTTTCATGACTGAAAAGCATTACAGCAACTTTATTACCCACCTCCTCTTTGCACTGTGCTGTGGCCCAGGAGCACTGAGCAAGAGAGTCACATATCTTGTGTACCTACTGTGTGCAAAGCTTTCTTCTTTCTGTCATTGAGTCCTCACATTCAGCCAGAGAGGCAGGTCTGGTGCTAAGAACTTTATGGCCATTAAAGAGCAGTTCTTTTTAGGATTATAAGAAATAGGACTGGGAGTGGTGAGAGGTGAACCTGGGGAGTTTGCAGGGAGCACATGGCTCACGGCTTGTGAACCACAAGAAAGGAGCCTGTGCTGTTCTTCGAGGACAAAAGCCATGGAAAGGTCTTAATCCAGCAGTGACATGGCATAGTCAGATCTGTATTTCAGAAAGATCTTTGGGCCAAGTGTAGGGGCGCGTGCCTGTAATTCCATAATTTTGAGAGGCCGAGGCCAGGGGGATTGCTTGAGACCAGTAGTTTTGAGACCAGCCTGGGTAACACAGTGAGACTCCGTCTCTACAAAAATTTTAAAAATCAGCCAGGTGTGATGGCGTGTGCCTGTAGTCTCAGCTACTTGGAAGGCAGGGTGGGAGGATCACTTGAGCCCAGGAATTTCAGGCTTCAGTGAGCTATGCTTGTGCCACCACACCCCAGCCTGAGCAACACAGTGAGACCCCATCTCTAAAATAAAGAAAGAAAAATCTGGTGTGGGATGAACTGGAGAGGTGTGAGGCCAGATGGGAGATGACCATCATAGTAATCTAAATGGGAGATAATAGGGGTGAGGCAAGTGAGCCAGAGAATTGTTTAAGATATTGGCTCTCATAGAGCTTAGCACCACGCCTGGCACACATGTTGTTAATATTGATTAATAATATTCATTATGAAAACAATAGTAAGAAGAATACTTACGCCTATTTATTGAGTCTTATAACACGTGGTATAAAGTACTTTATCCACACTATTTTGTTTAATCTTTGTAACTATCCTATCAGGTAGATGCTTTACTATCCCTATTTTACAAATGAGGAAACTGAGGCCCAGATAAGTTAGGTGCTATGCCAAAGGATTCACACACAACTGGAGAGAAAGAAAGGCACAATTGTCCAACTCAGAGCTTATGCTCTAATGAAGTCACCACACCAGCCTTCTTGGAGGTATTTCTTGGGTAGTCCTGGACACTGAGGAGAGACCCAGCAGGAGAAGCCTGTGTCAGGCTGGCTTTGGAGGAGAGAAGGAAGGGGTAAATTTATTGTGTAATGGGGTCTCTGAGTGAGAAGAGCTCCTGTGGAATTTCCAGGGCAGTTTCTGTACCTGGAAGTTTCCTCCCACTGATACAAGCCAAAGCAGACCTAGGGGAGGGAGAAACAGGCAGGGGAGGGATCCGGCAACCTCCCCCCACCCCAACAGGTGTTGGTTCCCTGGTGCTTCTAGGATCATCTCTCTTCTGGTACCAGCTCCTTGCACAGGAGCCATCTTGTTTCCTCCAGAGACCACCATCTCTCTCCTAATTGGTGGAAAATTGGTTGCTAACTGTCAGGAAATTGCCGATTTTCCATCCATTACTGGGAGGACCAGGGCTGTGTAGCTGTGGGGGACTCTGGGTGGGAAGCAGACGTTGATTAGGCCTTGCAGTTAACGATTAGGTTCGTGGACCTCCTCAGGCAGTCCTCCCAGGCTGCTTATTAACTCCCTGTGAAGACCCATTGGGCAGGAGATATTGGTTAAATGGAACGCAGAGCCACAAAAGAGTTACTATTCATTAGGCCTTGGTTGTGGGGAGAGGGGAGACCGGGGAACAAACTGTGGCCTCAATCCAGGAATGTTAAACAGCCCCATAAGCTGGCAGAGAACTTTATAATTGTTTCTATTAAAATATATGTATTTATATAGGTGATTTGTTGGAGGAAAGAATTTCAGCATTCGGGTGAGATCCCTGCTATGATTTTACTGAGGATTAAGTTGTTAGGGACTAGATATTAATTAAGGCTGAGGGCCCCAATCCTTTCCTAATTAGCTCATGGAGTGTAATTTGCCTGCAAATGCTACTGTTACAATCACCTTGAATTTGTCTGGAGCTCTCCTCCAGCTGCATGGGGTGGGCTTTACCCCATTACGTGAGCAGAAGGGAGGGGAGGGGTCAGGAGACCTGGGCTCCACTCCCAGCCCCTGCTCCTGACTCACGAGGAAGGAGTCTTTTTCTGGCTTGTCGCCTACAACGAAGAAGTACTTAAGGGAAGGAATGGGATATGTCTGAGTAGCCCTTCTCAGCCGGGACACTCTGAGACCCACGGTGTTGGTGAACAGTCAACAGAGGACTGAGGATGAAAATACCTTAATGCCCATGCTCTTCTGAGTTCTCCACAACCTGAGATATCTAAAGGACTTGCCTAAGGGAAGTCAGAGAGTTCTTCTATGGGGCTTTAACTTCAATTGTCCAC